CCACATGATAACCAAGCTCATTAAAGTTTCTCAGGAGTTCAAGATGCCGCTCTGTCTAAAATTCATTGTTGAGACTGAAGCAGTCATCGAAGCCCTACCCAAACAGGGTATTCAAACTCAATATATCAGGATCTTCCGTGAGCTGTATTGCAGATTCACTACCAGGATCTCATTATTCTACAGGGAGATGATCATTAACGTCAAGAGAGGTGTTTGGCATGGTGATACCATTTCACCAAAACTCTTCAGTGTCACCATCAAGATGTCATGCAACAACTGGAATGGGAAGGAATAGGAGTGACGATAATGTCATCTGCTTTGCTGATGACATCGTTGTAATAACACCAAACATCAGCAAAGCGTCACAAATGCTGGCTAACTTCGACCATGAATGTTGAATGGTTGGAATATAGCTGAATCTCACAAAGACAATGTTTATGAGAAACGGTCTCATTCCTGACGTTCCATTTGTTTTCAGTGGGATGAACATCTCCAAATGCAACAGTTATGTGTACCTAGGTCGACAAGTCAACATGACAAATAACCTGCATTTGAGTTGCACAGGAGGAAGAGAGTGACATGGAATGTCTTCAAGAGCTCTGAAGAAATAGCTAAGAGGATGAGGAACATCTGGCTCTGGCACATCTCTTCGATTCCACCATTCTTCCTGCATTAACATACGCCTCAGAGACCTGGACCCTACGTAAACAGGATGAGAACGTTATTCATGTCTTCCAAGGAGGAACAGAAAGAACTATGCTTGGGATATCACGCTTCACTCAAATGAGAGAAAGAATCTGGAGTTTCGACCTCCATCGACAATCAAGAATCAGGGACGCTGTTTCGTTTGCCAAGGCATTGAAAATCAGATGGGCTGAACATGTAATGAGATTTGGAGACGACTGCTGGACTAGAGCCATCACCAACTGGATTCTATGGGACATCAAAAGACTGCATGGCTGCCCACCTATGAGACGGTCACAATTCTTTGTCATGACCCTGGAACGATTGTTTTGAGGCTGTCCATATTCCTAGAACGAGCAGACGCCATTGGGCTACACTAGCATATGAAAGGGACAAATGGAGACGTTACTGGTGCCTGCTCAAGCAAATTGATGAGTATCAGGATGTCAAGTGATCAAGTGATATAAGCATACATGTACAAATCAGATAATTTTCAGTATTTTAAAATATTTGGATCAAGCTCTTCAAAACCAAATTTTCTAATAATAAAATTAAATGGTGAACAAATAAGACATTCAATTTTAAAAAAAATCTATCACAAAGTTTGCAAAAGGCCTTGACAGCTCATCAAATGTTACATATATTTATATATACACATATGCACATTGTATAAAAATATATTATATAGAAACAGGGAGAGACATCAACATCAGATCATTAGGCAACTACAAATGAAAACCAAAAAGAAATGTCACTATATAAGCATTGAAACATAAACATACAGAACATTGACATTACCAAATGATGATAAGGCTAAGGAGAATAGAGACTCAGTGTGAGAGAATATAAATATTATAGGGATTTTTAGAAACGAACTAAAAAATTTTATTTCTTAGTAAAGTAAACATATTGTACATGTTTTAATAATCATGTTCCTTGATATTCAGCCAAAGAGACAGAAACTTATATCCGATCAAACCGCAACGACTGTAAGAGGGCTTGGCAGGAGTAGGGCAGGGGAAGGCAGAGGGATATGAGAGGGAGCCTGGGAATATTAGTGGAAGAAAGTTGGCACTGGTGGTGGGGTGGATGCTACAATATTGTTATGTCCAAAACCCAACAATGAATAACCTTGTAAAGCACAGTGCTTTAATAAAAAATTTAAAAATACTTTACTAATAATTGAAACAATGTATCATTGCAAAAATTTGGATGTAATCAAAATTTTGTAAAATAAGCGAATGTGCAAATAAGTTTTATTGTCAATACAACAGGTAAAGGTAAAAGGTAAAGGCCCTCCCGTTGATCGTCGATTTGCTCGAGCGGACCCAGTAACGTCTCCATTGGAGACTTTGTTGTTACTGTGTCTGGCATATCAAATACTCTCGGTAGCTTGCCGGGCTCTCTGAGAGGGGCGGAGGAATCGAACTCAGGTCGGCCATGTTGGCCGCTTGTAAGGCGAACGCCCTACCCGCTGTGCTATCGCTCCAGCCCGATTGACAATAAAATGAAAGTATCTGTAATGGCATAAAAATTAAGGGGGTAATTTAAATATATACTTCTATGTGAGAAACCAGCTTGTAAAGACTTCATACCTTATGATTCCAAATATATGACATTCAGGCAAAACATAACTAGGTAACAGTTAAAAATATCAATGATCGCCAGGGCTAGAATGAAGTAAAGCAAGTAAAGCAATGCACGGATAATCTTTAGTAGAGTAAAACTATTTTAAATGGTGAATAGATTTAATTACACACCTTTTGAAACTAACTCACACAGTGTAAGAATATAAACGCTAGGTGCATACACTGTCTGAGCCCATGTGCTGCTTGTGCACGTGTGGCCAAGTACATGCGTTGCCTTAGCACATGTGGTGCCCACATCTCCCCTCTTGAGATGTGTACTTTTTTTGTGTCTAATGCTGGGATGTGTCTGGGAGCTCTCTCTGCCCCTGGAGAAGCCCACGTTCTCCCTTGAGCGCTTGCTTTACTCTCTCTCTCATTCTCTCACTCTCTCTACACCTTCAAAAACTTTCAAATAAAATCTATTTTACTTCAAAAAAAATACAAACTAATGCAATCTATAGACTTTAAGAAATGATGTACATTGATATATGTTTGTTGATTATTGCCAATGTACCAGTTTGTTTTGGAAAGTTTTTGGGGAGAAAAGGTGTAGACTTTAGGTTCATGGGGACACTCTCTATTTACTTTCTAATTTCTATAGTGAAGCCAAAATTAAAAAAGATTATCGATCTATTTATCTATCTATGTACTTGTAAAGTAACATTTATGTTAGTCTTTATGGTCACTGTTTCCTCAAAGACTAAAGGAATGTCATTGTCCATTGAAGCTTTTGTGATTGGGTTTTGGTTTTTTTGTTTGGGGGCCACATCTGATGGTACTCAGGGTTCATTCCTAAATCTGTACTCAGGGAATCACTCCTGGCAGTGTTCAGAGCTGAACTCCAGTTAATTGCCAGAAAGTTATGCACCTTAACTCCTGGTCTCTGGTTAGGTTTGCTTTATTTTGTAATTGGAACATTAATTGGAATAAATTTAAGAAAAAACAATCAACACATTAAAGAATAAAGCTTCTTCAATAGCATAAATAATATTGGAATATTGGACTGATATTGGAAGGTATAAATAATATTGGGTAAAGATATAAAAATCAGTAAATACAGTAATGCTTAAGAAAACCCTATTCAATGTCAAATTGCCACAATTCAATGGTAATCACCCAGACTTAAGTAAAGTAATAAAATTAAGAATTTTGGATAAACCATCATTTCAAAATCTGAATAATTCGATTTTTTTATTTTAAAAATCTTTATATGAGCTCTGACGCTCTGGATGATGCAACAGTCTATTGTTGACCTAATGATTTTGTGTCTCAGCAGTTTAAAATGACAAGACAGCAGGATTACCACAAATCAGTTATGTATCATTTGCTAATAAATCAAAAGATAATCACCAGTTTTACAACTAATTATTTAAAATAATACTCTCTTGTATCTCTCAGACTCAATATCAACTATACAGATTACATAAATATTAGCACTGTAGCACTGTCCTCCCATTGTTCACCGATTTGCTCAAGCAGGCACCAGTAATGTCTCACAACAAATTGTGAGAGTTGTTGTTACTGTTTTTGGCATATTGAATACATCACAGAGAGCTTGCCAGGCTTTGCCGTATGGGCGAGATACTCTTGGTAGCTTGCCAGGCTCTCCAAGAGGAACAGAGTATTCGAACCCAGGTCGACCATATAGAACGCGTGCAAGGCAAATGCCTTACCCACTGTGCTAACATAAATTTTAAGCATATAGAATATAGTATTTAAAATTAAATCTGGAAATAATCTACTTTTTACATTTTGCTTAATCAAAATGAGGTCTAAGAAAATAAGTAAAAATTTTCAAGGTCAGAAAGTAATTTAATGCAGAAGTGGAACCACATATGACACTCCAGATGAAGCTATTTTTCTGTGACTGTCTTTCATGATCTCACTACTTGGAAACTAAAACCAGATATTCACATATATAATTCCAAGTATGCTGACCTTAAGGAGCTAATACTAATACTAAAGGAGCTAATACTAATAAACATACAACTATATAAACATGAAGATTTGTTTTATTCTGGATGTATAAATTGTGTTAAACTTTATATCGAATTTGAATTGCTTTGAAATATGACAACAAGGTATTGAAACTTAGTATCAATAATATTTGTATCACTAAAATTTGCCCAACACTATCTTAAATGTTAGCCTTATCCACCATAATATTTAGCGAGACCTGGATTGGCTTTTTCTTACTTCTTGATACAAATACTATTATAGGCAAAAGGAGTGTTTTCAAGAAATTTATATATTTTTAAACCAATTTTCTAAAGCAGTAAGAATATCTAATATAAATATAAAGTAGTAAGAATATCTAATATCTAATATAGTTCTATAGCTACTGGTTTATTATTTGTCATTAGTAATATTATACTGCACTGTAGCACTGGTCCTCCCATTGTTCATATATTTGCTCGAACTGGCACCAGTAACATCTCCATTGTGAGACTTGTTACTGGTTTTGGCATATCGAATATGCCACAAGGAACTTGCTAGGCTCTGCCATGCAGGCAGGATACTCTCGGTAGCTTGTTGGACTCCCTAAGAGGGATGGAGGAATCAAACTTGGGTCAGCTGCATGCAAGGCAAACGCCCTACACACTGTGCTATCACTCCAGCCCAGGGCGCTTCTCAGCCTTTTGGCTGAGATCAAGTGTGTAGTAATATTATACAACAAGGAAAAATTACCTTTTGGGTTATCTTTACAATAAGAAAATCTGCTGCTCAGATGAAGATGTAAAAGGTCTGTTTTCATGAAAACATGTCGATGGAGAATGTCATTTTCATGTAGAAAGGTATTCCTAGAATCATGAAATGTATAACTTTCAAATTGAGAGGAAAACAATGGAATAAATTTTTAGATAAATCACTGTCCTGTCACTGTCCTCCCATTGTTCATTGATTTGCTCGAGAGGGCCCAGTAATGTCTCCGTCGTGAGACTTCTTGTAACTGTGTTTGGCATATTGAATACCTCATGAGTAGCTTGCCAGGCTTTGCTGTGTGGTCGAGATACTCTGGGTAGCTTGCTGTGCTCTCTGAGAGGGGTGGAGGAATTGAACCTGGCTCAGACAGGCCAGCTGTGTACAAGGCAAATGCCCTACCACTGTGCTATCGCTCCAGCCCGTTTAGATAAATAATGTTAAATAAACAAATCATATTTAAAAAGAAAGTTAAAAATCTCAGCTTAACAAAATAAACATAATAAAACTTTAAGGGCATATGGTTATTTAAATCAATGTAACATTTGTTTTTACTCTAAACATCTTATTTATGAAAAGTAACAATATTATGTCATAGGTTTAAAAGAACAAGGTAATCGGGCCAAACAGATTCAATTGCAGAATTTCAACTAGAAAAATTCTTTTCAAAACATTTGGAAATAATTTTAGTTCTTATTTTATTTAGTGTATAAATGAATAATTGAAAGCAGTGTCATTAAACATTACTTTATACATAATCTACCTATTAACTGAAAATTAATATGCTCTGTGTGATATTTATGTTTCAATTCTAATTATAATTGTGTACTTTTTTTTGCTTTTTGGGTCACACCTGGCGATTCACAGGGGTTACTTCTGGCTCTGCACTCAGGAATTATCCCTGGTGGTGCTCAGGGCACCATATGGGATGTTGGGAATTGAATGAGGGTCGGCCACGTGCAAGGCAAATGCCTTAACCACTGTGCTATCGCTGCAGCCCCAATTATATACATTTTTTATACCTAAATAGTTTCTAGACATTTAGTGTATAGATATTTCTAAATCTAAATGCCCGGACATTTCTAGGCATTTTAAATACCAAACATTTATATTAGTCCTATGGTGTTATTGTAAAATAGTCCTGAATTATGTTTTTTTTCTGAATTATGTTTAACCAAAAATGTCTTCTTGTATAACTTATGATTCTTAGAAAAGAAGATCATTCAGGCCAGAGAGATAACACAGCAAGAAAGGTGCTTGACTTATCTTGTCCATGCTAGATTCTGTCCTCCACACTCTTTCAGTCTTCGAAGGACAACTCCCCCCACCCTGCCAGTACGTTTGAGTGGATAAGCATGGTTAACCCCTCAGCATGGCTGGGTGTGGCTCCTCTTCTTCCCTCCCCTCAAAAAAAAAAAAAACTCCTCAAAATTGTCATTTTATGATTCTTCTTAGAAAAATAACTATTGGTACCTACAACCTATTTTGAAAAATTATTATCAAATCATGATCAACTTTTAATGTGTTCTCTCACATAGTATATGGAGTTAAATATATAGAGAACATGCATGCAATTTTATTTCTCTGGGTATATAGAAGTGATTATGATAACCTTTTGTCCAGAGGTTGTCTCCTGCCCAGAGTGCACTACACACTAGGTACCTGTATCTGTGGATCCAAACAAACAGCTTTTCAAGCCCAATGGTATTACTTGGACCCAATGTATTCCAAAATGCTTACAAGGGCCTATATTGACTTGAAAATATGAATAATTTTGTATAGGGGCTACATGATAAAACTTCATTGTTATTTATCTATTACTATAATTTATATTTGAAATACCTTATAATCTAAGCTAAATTTTCACCCAAAAGATGTTGGATTAATTTTTAACATAATAATCAAGACTTAGTGCTATAAATATTTTGGGAATGATAAAATTTTATCAAAATTATTTAAAAAATGAATCATTACAATTACTTTTTCATTACCCAGGATGTAATATATGGCTTGAAAGCTCTTTCCATTCTCAATCTAAACACTAAAATATAACCAGCTATTTTTATTTAGGTTTTATATCAATCTGAAGTAAAAAAATCGAAACATCACCTTTAGACAAAAATATAAAGTTCATGTAATATATAGCTTCCTTGATCAATTATGTCAAATAATAATTTTTAAAGTCAGAAAAATCTATATCCAATAACTTAGATATTAGTCTTGCTTTTTAAGCCTGTGTTTTCTCTTGAACATGTAACTTTTCCCTTTCTCTCCCCTTACCTCTTTCTAAATAAATTTCAATGAAAATCATCTTGCTTCACAAAAAACTAATTTACATATTAAATAAGATAAATTATGCTATAACACTGAAATATAGAACTTAACCATAATTTATCATTTAACTTAACCATAATTTACCATTTATTTGAACATTTATAGATATTTAAATAAACATCAAAAGTAAATTACCTTTGTTGGCAGTCTGTATCAGCTAATTCAACTTTGTAAGGCACAATATTTCCCATTTCTTGGAATTCTTCTTCAGAAGTCTTAATGAAGTTCATGTTACATATTATTTGCACGTTAAAAGAAATTATTATACATTAATCATCTAATTTATGGGCATTCATTAGAATTTTCTTCATAAAAATCATGTCATAAGATCTCTTAATCTATATCATGAAACTAGACTTATAGATATAAATTAAGTAAAAACTTTTCATGACATTTTCTTTTCACTCACTACTAATACACCCTGGCCCACAATAACAACTAACTTTTATATTATTATTATTATTATATACTTATTAAGAATTAAGTAAATTAAGGCCTATGATATTTTCAGTTCTCTAGTCTACATGTCATAAGGTCATTTTGTGCATTAACTTAATGAAGAACACAGACCCCATATATGTGTAGCAGATGCATATGTGCACATGTATGTATACATGTATACATACATGATGCACATGTATGTATATAAGGATATATGTGTGTATTTATTTAATAAATATCTTAAATTTATCTGGAGAATAAATAAAAATGTTTCAGAAGAAAAACAGACATTATTAAGTTAAAGCAGAAAGCAGTATTCAGTGTGGTTTTTCCTTTATTCTAGCGCTTTTACTATTACAACCAGATCAGGAAAATTGTTGAGGACAATTGATATATCTCATTGTTGAATTTCCCCGAATAGGCACTGCTATTCATGGGAAAAATAATTATGGGTATGAGTAGTTGTACCCTCAGATGCAATTGCGAAAGGTGCTTAGTGTTTGTTTGCTCAAAGATTTTTACGGGGTAGGGCATCATGGATAATTCTTTCCTGAAAAAGGGTAATGTGGGCAAAATACATTTGGTGAACCTCTGCACATGATAAGAAAGTGAAAAGAAAACAAAACAACAAACAAAATCGTTTCCCCAGTAAGTTTTATATATTGTTTTCCGTTTTGGGGGAAATGCCTGCTATACTCCAACCTCTGTGCTCAGGGATCACTCCTTGATGGTACTGAGACAATGGTATAAGGTGCTAGGGATTAGACCTGGATTAGCTGCATACAAGGAAATCACATTATCTAGTGTAATATCTCTCTGGTCCCATGCTAATAATAGTGGGACAGAAGATATTACATTATATTATTATCATTATCATCATCATGATCATCATCATGATCATCATTATTGTTGTTTTTTTTTTTATTTGGCGGCTGGCATATCCAGAGTTTTTTAGGGCTTAATTATAACTGTAGTTGTGTCCTCAAGGTTCACTCTTGGCAATATGAAGTTCTATCAATTAAACCCAGTTTGGCTGCATGCAAAAATATCTTGCCCATTGTACTATCTCTACAACTCAGTTTTTTTTTTTTTACAAATTAAACATTCAACTTTAAATCCATAGCTTCTTCCGCTGATCATGTTAGGTGTCTTGCAGAGGTTTATATTTAAGTTATTGCTATACTATTTAAATCATAATACAAACAATATACAGTATTGTCCTTGCTGCTCCTGCAGGGAATTTAAGGTTTATTGAACCACTCCAATGCAACTGAGGCACACCCAATTCCCTCAGGCACTAATAATTCTATATTGCTTTTCTCTTTCCTTTATGTCATTTGTATGGTTCATTTAGCAATGTCCTTTTTGTATAGACACAGGAAGACAGTTGATGCTATGCTATTTAACATGGGAGTCAACTGACTCCAGAATAATATTTACTCCAGGGCATCCGTATTTACTTAAGCCTTAGTTCCTACAACTACAAGAGCAGGATCCCGAAGAGGGACTGTTGGACACAGGGCAAGCTGTGAGCTACCCTGGCATCGAAACTGGCCAGGTCAAGTGCCATAATACACAACTATAAGTAAAGAGCACAATCATGGGACAAACTCTGTCATGACCCAAAAAGAGGTAACTGAATAAGGACCTGCTGGCCATAGGAAAGACTAACCTGACCTGAGGACTGTGGACTAGAATATATATTGAGATATTCCCAGAAAGAGTCAAACTTTAAGCTTAATATATCTCTTACTGTACTCATACAAAAATGACATTGCTAGAAATATTATAAGAAGTAAATTTACTATAAATGTTTACGTTCAGGAAAAGAGAAAGTAATATATCCTGGATGGAATCTCACCCTTGGGTGCATCACCTAGTAATCTTGAGTAAACTCCTTAGATGAGATTTTGTTTTTGAGTCAACCTTTACCTCTCTTTGTTGTTATGTTAATGTTCAGCCCCATCTTTGTGTCCGCACCCTACATGATTTTGACATAACTATGCTGTAATGGGCTAGGGAAGAAGAACTACACTGGCAGAGACTTGTGACTAGCAGAGAGACTTGTAGCTGGCATAGGAACTTGTAAATGGCAGACTAAACTCTGGGAAGGAATGCTGAGAAGGAGATGAAGACTAGATGCTGAAGACTAGATGCTGAAGACTAGACTAGACACTGAGGGCTAGATGTTGACGAGAAGGTAGATGACGAGAAGCTGAAGATGAGGAGGAGAACTGAGACTTTTGAGACTTTGAAGTCTCTGAGGAGACTAGGATGATGGAACTCTGATGACAGGGACTAGGATCAAAATGACGGCTATGACTGCGCCATAAAGGGAGAGATTGATGATGCCAGGGAGAAGAGAGAGATAAACTACCACTACCGACCGACCAGCCTGGGTCCTGTTTCATGTTTCGTCACTTCCCTAGACCTTCACCCGTGGTCAGATTCCTGGAGCGGTGGCTCTTGGCCACCAAAGGCTTGAGTCCTGCATGTCCAACCTGTTCGGGCCCACCAATTTTCTCTCTTTTTTATTGAAACTTACAATAAAATATATTGTATTTCTATATGCAAGCAAAAAACTCAAAGAATTAGTTATTCTTTGAAATAGAAAATAAGTGATGTTCAAGAATACTGACATACAAACCTTATTAGACACATATCAGATATAAGATTGATCTTTCTTACAAAAAACATTGATAAAATAAAAATTAATCCTATACCAAATCATTTATATAAGAAAAAATTACTAAAACACTTTCTATCACAGTGGCTGCTTTAAAATATTAAAAGTTCATCTAAATATTCACTCTATCTTTACATTAATACTGTTTTAAAACTATTGATATGTTTAAAATGCTTCTTAGGATCTCCTGTTAAACTACATTAAATTATAGAATAAGTTCTATTGAAGGTAATATGCAGTTGTAGCTGTTAAAAATTTCCTCTTTGTTTAGTAATATGTTATCATGTTTATGCACTTACATCATTGAGCTCAATTATTTTTAGAGTTGGTTCAGATCTCTCTATTTTTAACTCCTCCTCAGGCAGAAAACTAGCTTGATGTTGCAGTTTCTTCCCTTCAACTAGCAAATAAGATTTGAAAATATTATCAACAAAGTAAATTTATCAAATAATTTCCTGGGTTCAAATAATATAGCAAAAATATGACTATCACACTGAATATCTATAAAACTATAAAAATTAATTTCCTCAATTCAGGAAAAATACAGATTTTAATAATACCTTTTAAATGAATTTGAATGAACAAAAGGTAAATTTAGAGAACAGTAAGAAGAGATTGTAGGATTTTGACATGGAAACAGTTTAATTCAGTATAGTACAGTTTTTAAGAAGCAGATGCTGGTTAATGGTTGGCATATGTAACTGAACTAATGAATCTGGAAGTATATAAGAAGGTCTGAACTAACCATCGCTATTTTCTTTACTCTCATTATGAGGACACTGTGTTTCACTAGTAGTTTTACATGGTGTTATGAATGTATCCGGTATCGTATCTTGAAATTTTTCCTGTGGAGTTCTGCAATACAAAAATAAACAAATTAAATTGCTAGCATAACTTATCTTAAGCTTTTCAGACAAGAAATCATCTATATCACAAATGAGTGAATATACAATATAAAGAAATCTTAGGAATATCTCTAACTCACTAAGGAAGATATGCTTCCATAATCTATTTTTTAACTGAGTCACAGTTACAAAACTTTCATGTTTGAGTTTCAGTCATAAAATGATCAAACATCCATTCTTCCACTAGTGCATATTCTCCACCACAAATGTTTCCAGCCCATCCCCTTTCCAACCATCCCCTGCCTCTGTCGCAGACAGTTTCCCCCATACTCTCTATTTTGGGGCATTAGGGTTTACAATACAGATACTGAGAGATTGTCATATTTGGTCCTTAATCTACTTTCATCACACATCTCCCATCTCGCTTGATTCCTCGCTTGATTGTCTTAGTGATCCTTTCTCTATCACAGCTGACTTCTCCTCCAGGTCATAAGACAGGCTTCCAACCATGGAGCAATCTTCCTGGCCCTTGTGTCTACTGTCCTTAGATATCAGTCTCATATTTTGTTATTTTATATTTCACAAATGAGTGCCATCATTATATTTCTCTTTCTAGGTTTCTGACTCATTTCACTTAGCATGGTGCTCTCCATGTCCATCCACTTATAAGCAAATTTCATGACTCCTAATAGCTGCATAGTATTCCATTGTACCAAAGTTTCTTTAACCAGCCATCTGTCCTTGAGCACTTGTGTTGTTTCCAGATTCTGGCTATTGTGAACAGTGCTGCAGTGAACATACAGGTGCAGGTATCATTTCTACTGTGCTGTTTGCATCCTTGGTGTATATACCCACAAGTGGTATTACAGGGTCATATGGTAGCTCCATTTCTAGTTTTTGAAGGAATGCTCATATTGTTTCCCAAAAAAGCTGGACGAGTTGGCATTCCCACCAACAGTGAAAGAGTGTCCCTTTTCCCCCACATCCATGCCAGCCCTGAGAAAGACATCTATAGCAACACAATATCAGTGGGAGATTTCAACACCGCTTTATCACCTCTTGATAGATCAACCAGACTCAAGCATAGAAAGTATATACCTTATATGAGGAAAGAAATGGAAGAAAGAGGCTTAATAAATATATACAGGACACTTAATCCTCAAAAAGCTGAATACACTGTTTTTTTTTCAAGTGTGCATGGGACATTCTCCAAGATAGACTGCATGCTGGGCCACAAAATATACATGTATAAAATTAAGAAGACAGATTGCATCAACGATCTTCTCTGACCATGATGCTCTGAAAATAGAAGTGAATCACACACACAAACAGAAAATCAAATTAAACACCTGGAAATTAAACAGCTCACTACTAAGCAATGACTAAGAAAGGTGACTAAGAAAGGAAATCAAAGAGGAAATCAAAAGATTCCTGGAAACTAACAAAAATGAAGACACAAGTTACCATAACTTATGGGACACAGTGAAAGCTGTGTTAAGTGGAAAGTGTATAGCTCTACAAGCATCAAGAAGGAAGAGCAATCCCATATAAGTAATCTAATCTCACAGCTCAAGAGCTAGGAGAATGACCAACAAAAGGAAACCAACCCAGGCAGGAGGAAATAAATTATAAAACTTAGAGCAGAAATTAATGAGATGGAAGCCCAATAAACAATCAAAACAATCTTAATCTACTAAAATTACTTTGTAAATCAAATTACCACACAATATTCTTCAACTTCATTTTCCGTTATTTTTGTTTAAGGTGAAAATAAAAGTCAGTATTCTCATAAAAGCCACGTGGAGTCTATATAATATATTACTCTATTTAAAAGTTCATTTATAAATGTATGTTCATTAACATTAACACAAAACTTAAAATGTATCAGAATCTATTCAAATTAAATTTTGGATATTAATTAATGTAGGTATGTTGAAAAGTTTCTAGTATTACCTTGATTTTACAAATGAGGAGATTAATACACAGAAGGGAACTAATTAAAAGTTTATCAGGGAGAGAAGAATTTAACCTAAGCATTCTATCCCATGGAACTTACGTACTTAGGGTGTCATAAGAGTTCCAAAAAACCAACAAATTAGTTATAAAAGTGAGTCAGAGGTTTTATAAAGAAGGAACTTGGTGAACATTATGTTGACCAGAATAAAATACACAAATAACATATATCGTGATATCATGCACTTGAGAGAGGCATTTTATTATTGTGGCACTTTTCTTCAAAGCATATAGCTTTACTCTAAGTTGGGAAAGATATCAGATTGACCCCCATCAAATTTATTCTGTAAAACTTGTGGCAAGTACTCTTCAAAAATGTCAAGTGGGGTAGGGGAGAAAGTACAGTGGTAGAGGTACTTGCGATGCATGCAGCCCACCAGGTTTAATGCTTGGCATATAGTTTCCCAAGCTCTCCCTGCAGGTATCCTTAGACACAGCTAACACAGTTGATTATTTTGCCCATCCGCCCCCCCCACCACACATAAACACACACACACACAAACACACACACACACACTCACACAAGTGAAGGTTTTAAGAAAAACAGTGGATAATAATTTAAAGTTTGAGCTGTTCAGGTATTTTTTTTAGTTTTTTGTTTGTTTGTTTTTTTAAAGCAATGTGAGATCCTGAATTGTTTTTCTGGATTAAAGTAAAAGATTTTAATGGAAAATTTGCCAAATCCAAATACATTCTTCAGTTTAGTAAAAGATATTTTCTCAATGTCACTTGTGTTTTGATAAGTCTACTTTGAGATGGTAACATTTTAAAAAGTTGAGAGATAGATGTGAAATTTTCATACTATTTTGTCATTTTCTGTATGTGTGACTTCAAACATTTTAAAACGCAAAGAAATATTTTTAATAAAATAATAGTTGATGATAGTTGAAGGGCAAAATTAACCAAAGAACAGATGCTCCAAGAGGAGGAACATGAGAACTAATTTTAAAAATTCAGAAGGAGTGACATGTAGAGGAGAACTTTTATTTGCCCAGATTGTCTTAATAGTATTAGGGCAAGATTGGAAACCACCCAGAAATGAATGTTTCAAAGATAGAATGGTCCTCAACAGAAGGTAGATGAATTATGTATGACCAAAGATGAAGTAAAGACTTTGTTTCACTCCTCAGAAATGAAGACAGATGTTCCTATATGTTCCCAAGAAATAGCTGACACCATGTATATTCATAGCACTATTTGCAAGACAATAAAAATTCTTAAATTCAGTCTCTCAGTTTCTACATAGAATTTATGAAAAAAATTGATTTTATCACTGAATCTAGAACATTCAAAGGCACAATAAATAATTAAAAGTATTCCTATAGAGCAAACTGAGTTAAAAATCATTATGGCATCTCCCAATGGGAAAGTTGACAGTAAAATTATGAATTATTGCTCTGGGGCCAGAGTGATAATACAGTGGATAGAGCATTCGCCTTACATGCAGCCAACCCTGGTTCAATCCCCAACATCCCATATGGTCCTCCAAGCACTGCCAGGAGTAATTCCTGAGTACAGAGCTAGAAGTAACACCTGAGTATCCCAGGGTGAGACCCAAAAAAACAAACAAAAAAAAATTACGAATGACTGACTATATGGGTCCTCAGCCATAATTTCTGATTTACTATAGAACAGTTAACCTTTATCATGAAATAATATCATTTTCATTAGATAATTTATGTAATGTTAAAGTAATGATATATTCTTAATGAAAATATATGTAAATTCTATCTATAATCCAATAAAATTAAAGGTCTAATTAACTTAAATGTGTATTGCTTGAAAAGAAGTATAGCCTCATCTTTATGATAACAATAAAAATTGACAGCAATATCTCTTCAAAGTATTGCATTAATTTTGTTATTGCTTATAAATTCTGTAGTATTTGTACATTCTTTCCCACACATTAATTTCCATTTCTCAGGGGAAACCTCAATCAATGCTCCTGTGGTGTACCCACCTAATATACTGAAATAAAATAGAATTCTATTAAAACAGTAGATACTCCTTTGTTAATTAATATTGCTTTTAAATGATTCATACTAATGCGAAGCACATGTATAAAAGTACTACATAAAAGCATGTCACAAAGCAAGGAACAAAAATAGTTTTTATATTTCATATTTATAATATAAAATGTCTTAAAATAGTTTTTATATTTCATATTTATAATATAAAATGTCTTAAAGTACCTTCTGTATTTCTTAAGCCATAATTTTTCCATATAGGATAAACTGTCTTCTTTAAACTTGATTTCCAGTGGTTCTCTCCAAATTTTCAGATCAGTTTGCACCTCACATACTTCCTGTGATTCTACAACAAAAATAATATACAAAAATGTAACCTAGTCTATAAATTATATTTTCTCTAAATGTCTAGAATGCAGTATTTTAGGCAAATGTGTTCTTATATTTATCTATATAATTCAAAGATATAATATTAATTAATACAAGTGTAAATTTTGATATTTGTTAAATATTTGTATAGAATATTTGTATAGAATATTTTAATAATCCCCTTAAATAAATGAATCTTACAATCACCAGTTTTGCAAAGTATCTAATTCTTTTAAATTACAGATAAAATCAGATTCATTATGTATTCTATAAGTATCACACGTAAAGGCATGTATTATATCCACTGACACATTATGGGAAGAAGAAACTAAATAACTAAGATTGTCACCTGCAGGTGACAACTATCCTCATGGATTTATATTTACATGGCAATTTATTTCAAGATGCTAGATATGTTTCTGAAGTACTACTAAATTAAAACACTTTACAGAGATATTTAAAACTGATGAAAATTTCTGGGAAACAAAGTGGTGTAAATACAGAATTACTAGACTCTCCAACTTTCCCAGATATCGTCCCTGCTTACAAATTTACCAATCATGCAGGGAAAATGTTGAAAGAGAAAAATTAAATCAAAAACTTAGAAAATAGTATTTAAAGTCTCTATATGTACACAATACCCTCATTATTCTTTAGATTTTAATCTTTAACTTCCAGAAAGATAACTACCAATAACAACAACAAACAAACAAGAAGGTTAAAAGTAACCCACTCCACTTCTTCCCTATAGTATGGAGAAAGCAGTTGGAGGCAGACATATCTGAGGATCATAGCCAGAATCCACAAAACAGGGAAAATAAGCAAGTAAGACATGAAACAATGAATTTCATTTCTATAAGTCCTCCTTCCACACCAAAATTATTATTTCTCAACAGGAAAACTGAAGGAAACTTATGAAAATTCACTTTTTCTTTTCCTGGCTAGATCATAGAAAAGTGATTCATTGCTTGAGAAATAAATTCCCAAAGGCTAGAGAGATAGTATAAGATGTAGTAAGGTATCTGCTTTGTATGTGGCAGACCCTAGTTCAATTCCCAACACCTCATATGGTACTCTGAACCCTGAGTCCTACCAGGATTGATCCCTGAGTGCAGAGCCAAGAGTGAGGCCTGAGCTCACAACCATATGTAGACCAAAAACTGAGGGAAAAAGAATTTATATTTACATATATTATATATACATATTTCTATATATAGAGAGAGCCCACACCTCAATAGAACAAGGGAGAAATACTTTTGGTTTGTGGTGCACAACTCTTCCAGTTCATTATTAATGGTATATTACTAGAAAATTAATATGGTGGTAATGTCAATTTGGTTAATTTACTTGTGAGCATATTAATAATTTAACCAACCGGAAAATATACAAAACTATTTTCTAGAATATTTATCAGGTATTTAGTGCATTAAGAAAATGCATCTTTAGAATTTTTCATAGAAAATATATCTAGAACATGCAGATTTGTGAGACATGCTTCCCTGAAGAAAAACAATTCATCTAAACTATGTAACTTAGATTTTGGATTTCTCCCTTGTTTTATTGTTCACTCTATATTCTGTGTGAATTTGTGTAAGATAATCTAGTATTTAAGAGTATTTCCCTTTGCTAGTGCAAAAATCTTATGAAAATATACCTGAGGTGTTTAAGGAATAGTCTTCAGAAATAATAATAGGTGGAGTAATAATAAAAGGTGGTTGAATAATAGGTGGTTGAAATAATAAAAGGTGGAATAATATTACAGATGCTGAGATCATAAAGGAAATGGACTTGAGAGAATTTCTAGGACACTATAAATACTTTTCTTTCACAATGAAAGAAACCTGCCTTTAGAATATAGAAATAAAAATTAATTTTAAATCAATAAAATAATTAAAAGACTTGGTAATTCAAAGCATGTTACTAAGTGGCTATGAGCCAGGAAAATATATTTTTTGAACAAGAGATTCACAAATTCAATATGCTATTTTATCTCAATTAGACTAACAAAAATTTTAATTTCTCAATTTAAGAATTGGTGAAAATGAAAAGCAGCCCAGACAATATATATATAGCCTAAATGCTATGAGAGAGTGTACAAATAAACTGCAAATCAGTATCTACAACTTATATCAAGATGTACAGCTGTCTTTCAAACTTATAGAAAGTATTACATAAGTTTTGTTATAACAGTAAAATTTTATGTATTCATATAAAGTACTAAAAACTGCAGTAAATTAATTTTAATTAATTTAGAATATTTATTTTTTTAATTTGATAGAGAGGCCAGAAAATATGTCAAGGCAATGCTTTCCATATGTGCACAGAGCAACCTGTGTCTTGACATGCTTCCATACCAGATTATTTTATAGTATTTGTAAAGTGCTTGCATTGAAGTTATCTGCATACTGATGATACTAGATTTCACTTACATAATATTTAAGAGAATTAAAAAAAAACAAAACCCCACCTTAGTTATGTTCTTTTATTTTTATTTATTTATTTATTTAATTTATTTTATTTATTTATTTATTGAATCACTGTGGGAAAGGTTACAAAGCTTTCAGGTATAGGTCTCAGTCATGCAAATATCAAACACATTTCCCTTTACCAATACTTATTTTTTTACCATGAAGAACCCCAATAAAACCCCACTCCCCACCCCTCCCAGTCCCTGTGAGGCAGATGAATTCTAGTTAACACTCTATCTGCTTTGATTAGATTCATTGTTTCAGTAAAAGATTCACCACTATTATTTAGAGTTTACCCCCCCCCCCCCCAAATCAGACATGCTGAAAAAGAATTGTGAAGTGATTTGCTTTCTACAGCTGGGTTCAAGAATTAAATGTTGGTTTTGGATTTCTGCTATTTTACCTATTGACCCTGGAAGTATTTCTACTGAAAGTCAGATAGTTAAGAAATTGGTTTCTGTGCTCTGGAGTCTTGGCCGTGCTGGAGAGCCGCTAGTGGGGGATAATTGGTGGCCTCGGTAGGGCGTGAAGGGCGGACCGAAACGCCCCCCTTCCCATGAGGTTTTAGTCGCCCCCACACCCCCAGCTCATACCTACTGTCCACAGGGCTCCCATGCGGCCGCCATCTTTCTTTCCAGAGAAGAGAGGGCGACTGGGGCAACACCCTTTCCCCTCCAGACAGACATGATGGCCTGGATTAACGCATAGTCCATTCACTTTTCTGCTCCAAGCTGCTGGGTTCTGCATTAAGTCCTTGTACTTCTGGGGCTGTGGCAGTGCTGGAGAGCCGCTCGTGGGGGGCAACTGGTGACCTCGGTAGGGCGTGAAGGACGGACTGGAACGCCCACCTTCCCATGAGGTTTTAGTTGCCCCCACACCCCTGGCTCATACCTGCTGTCCACAGGGCTCCCATGTGACCACCATCCTTCTTTCCAGAGAAGAGAGGGTGACTGGGGCAACACCCTTTCCCCTCCGGACAGACATGATGGCCTGGATTAACGCATAGTCCATTCACTTTTCTGCTCCACGCTGCCGGGTTCTGCATTAAGTCCTTGTGCTTCTGGGGCTGTGGCCGTGCTGGAGAGCCACTCGCGGGGGGCAACTGGTGACCTCGGTAGGGCATGAAGGACGGACCAGAACACCCCCCTTCCCATGAAGTTTTAGTTACCCCCACACCCCCGGCTCATACCTGCTGTCCACAAGGCTCCCATGCGGCCGCCATCCTTCTTTCCAGAGAAAAGAGGGCGAATGGGGCAACACCCTTTCCCCTCTGGGCAGACATGATGCCCTGGATTAACGCATAGTCAGTTCACTTTTCTGCTCCAAGCTGCTGGGTTATGCATTAAGTCCTTGTGTTTCTGGGGCTGTGGCCGTGCTCCAAACTTAACTCTGATTTTCAGGGAGAAACGTTGGGTGGTTTACTTCCCATGGATCACTTTGTATATAGAGAGATGTCGGTTTGGAGGAAAAGTCCTAGTTCCCGCATACTCGAGCTGTGCTTGTAGAGGCTTCTGGTCACCGGGGTTCCATCTGGGGGAGGCGGGATGCGGTACCTACCCCATCTGGGACTTCCCGATGATCTCGGCTCTTTTTGGAACCTGTACTTTATTTTTTTTTCTTCGGGAGCTGTGGATCCCCGCCCTCCATGTGGCCCTTCTCTTTGGCTGTATGCTGTAAAGATGGTGCTGGGGGGCAGGCTGTGGGCATGACTTCTGGAATCAGAGGTTACCTGGGAGTTGTAGTTCCAGCAGATTTGAGGAAAAGTCCTAGTTCCTGCATACTCGAGCTGTGCTTGTAGAGGCTTCTGGTCACCGAGGTTCCATCTGGGGGAGGCGGGATGCGGTACCTACCCCATCTGGGACTTCCCGATGATCTCGGCTCTTTTTGGAACCTGTATTTTTTTTTTCTTTGGGAGCTGTGGATCCCTGCCCTCCATGTGGCCCTTCTCTTTGGCTGTATGCTGTAAAGCAGTTATGTTCTTTTAGAAGCTACAAGAGCAGTGGTTACTCTTTTCCCCCCATCTATAAGTATTTTTATATATTAACTAATCTTAAGAAAATAAAAGCATTAGTAAATTTATACCTATTATGCCCACATATTATGTACATTAAATACTCTGGGGTAAAAACAAACCACGTATCAGCAAAGTTATATCTTAATAATATTAAGTATGCTATAGTAACTATATTTATATATGACCTCTCTTTCCTTTCTTTTTTTTATCACACCCAGCGATGCTCAGCAGTTACTCCTGGCACTGTACACAGGAATTATTCCTGGTAGTGCTCAGGGGGAACCATAAGGGATGCCAAGAATCAAACCCGGGTCGAACACATGCAAGGCAAAGCCCCGATCCGCCTGTACTATCACTCCAGCCCCATGACCTCACTTCTATTTTTAAAAACACCTTTACTTGTTATGATAACGTACTTTACCAACTTGTCTCTCATACATATTTGTTTGTTCACTGAGCAGGCTTGACTTTCCAGGTCACAAAGACATAACTCTC